TATATATATTATATATATATATATATATATGTATATGATTTCAAGGTACTAGGAGGATAATTATTGACTTGAAGTATTTCTCCTCCTTGACGTCGTTCGTCAGTAGTATTTTCTTTGAAAGCTCAATTCACAATTTTTTCCAAATTAATGTTGTGAGAGGATAAAAGAGTGCTAGCAAATTAGAATGGAGATTACTTGTACTGAGGATGTATTTTATTTCCAGGATGGAATACTGCATGAAATTAGTGAAAAAATACAGAAGGAATTTGTTCAAGGTCTCAAAGGTGGTTCCTCGAAATCATCGATTGCGATGTTGCCTTCTTTCATCCCTGCATTACCGGATGGAAATGGTTGGTTGATGATCCTGTAAGGTGGTATAAAAAACTTGCATCATTTTTTTTTACTTTTTCTAAATGTTCTTTTTTTTTGTAATTTCAGAGATAGGTAAATATGTTGCAATTGACATGAGTGGGAGAAATCTACGTATTATGTTACTAACGTTGAAAGGAAGCAACCAAGAACCAGAACAGATTAACCATAATTATGTTTTTCCAGCTTCTGTTATGAAAGGAACTGGAGATCAGGTCCATTTTTTCGTTTTCAAGATTTTGTGCTATTTTGTGCTTATTCGTAAACTGTTAAATCTTCAGACATGTAACTTTTGTACTGCACTTACTAGCAGGTTCCTGACGTTATATTTCAAACCATATTTTATTGTTTTAGCTGTTCACATTCATAGTCAATTGCTTGATGAAATTTCTCAACGAAGTGAATCTTCTAAATGCTTCGCTCCCAGTCGGTTTCGTTTTTTCCTACCCGTGCGAGTTACTTTCGATACGTTCAGCGCGACTGCTTTGGTGGACAAAAGACTTTGATATAAAGGATTGCTTGCAAAAAGATGTAGTCAAACTTCTGGAAGAAGCTCTCGAATTAAATATGGTTTGTTTATTCCGCAACTGTGTGTGGTCTTTTACTTTTAATTATCTATTTCCCGTTAAAATGTCGGAATTTCATTTATACAGACTGTCGAAATTCACTTCCATGTTTCAGCTAACAAATGTGAAAATTGAAGTCGTAATGAATGACACCGTCGGTCAGTTAGCTGCGACTGCTTACAAGTACGGTCAAGAATGCATAATTGGTATTGTTATTGGATATGGGTAATTTTTGTCTTGCTTTAGTTGAATTTCCTTCATTATTGTTCGCAAGCATGGAAACTATTTGACGACAAAGAGCATATGAGTAGGGTGTAGTGCTTACGTTATTTACACAGAAATAAACGCAAGTAATTTTCCATGTTTAATTTGTTAGGATCCTCAAAAAAGAATGGAGGATGAAGACAAAAAGAGTTGGATTGTGTATATTTTTTAATTTTTAGTTGTAATTCATCATATTTGGAAAATACTGCAAGGATCGAGAAATTTAATGCTGCGGCTTCTGGATATAAATTTGACAAAATGGTGGTTGTTACTGAGTGGGAAGAATTTGGTGAAAAGGTATTCTAGAACTTTGAACTTTTGTCTCTGAAAATTTGCAGTATTCTTTATTGTTTAACAATAACGGTGTCGATTGTTGTTTGAAGAATAAAATAACATGAAATGCTAAAATTTATTTATCATATTATTGCGTTTTGCTGTAAGCTTTTAAAGTCATGGAATTCTTTTTCCCTGTATTTATAGTGATGAATGGAGCAGTTAAATTAGCATCACAAATTGAATGAATATTATAGGGTGAATTAAATGCTATTTTAACGCAGTTCGATCGGGATATTGACGAAGTATCGGTTCATAAAGGCAAACAAATGTAAGCATTGTTTTTGTAAAGTGAGCAACATAAGTCTGCTTATTACTGTTAAATGGCATAAATATATCTTTAAATATTAAACAGGATGAAAATCTCTACGGTGATTGAGCTTGTAAGCCTTCATGGTTTAATTATGTTTTTTGGAAAATTTCAGAAGAAAAAGTGGTACATAGGCTCCATTTATTTGCAGGATTGATAAGTTAACTGGAGCATTATATCTAGGCGAGTTGGTACGCCGTATCCTCATGCAGTTTACATTAGATGGGCATTTGTTCAGTGGAAAACCTTGTGAAAAACTGGATGAAGTGGATTCCTTTCCAACTAAATACATTTCTGAAATTTTGAGGCAATTTTCTTTATTTTCCTCTACTGCTGTAGAGCAAAAAATTTGGATTGTCATTATATGTTCTCAACAGTTTTGATTACTGTTGAGAATGTGGTATAGTCGAAGAATGTCGTTTACGTTTCAGGAAAGTTAATTTTTAACGCCTATAGCAACAGATGGAGCACTGGAAAGAATTCCTGTCCAGCGCTATGAACCCTGCAAAGTGGTACCTAAATAGATCAATTAAATGATCTGTATAGTAATGTAAAATGATGTTGTGGTAATTCCTTGTATATGAATGGATTTTCAGAGATGAGGAAGGGAGTTTTAAAATTTGTCGGCGGATATGTGATGAACTTGATGCACCTAGTCATTGTACGGCTGATTATGAAATCATCCACGAAGTCTGCCACGCGGTGTCTCAGAGATCTGCTGCTATTGTTGCTGCTGGTTTGATATTACTTTCGCATGTTTTATGTTAAAGTTTGCACTCGCAGATTTTTATGGATATGTGCTTGTGACTAAAATAATAGTCTGATCGGAAACGAGTTTTCTCGCATAGATTAGGATTGAAAATAGTGCCAACAAACCGCGTAACGAATACAGTCTTCTTTTAAAAACAAAATAAAGATTCGGTTTAAAAAATCAGTGTCACCAAATAATACGCTTTTATACGAATGAATTTTCAGCAATTGCAGCGTTATTACGCCATGTTAATCAAAGCATCATAAAAATAGGAGTAGGTGGCGCATTAGTGCAGTTTCATCCGACTTATCTCTCATTACTGGAGAGCAAACTGCATGATTTCGCTCCAGTGAATATCAAGGTTTGTTTTATTTGCAAAATTTTGCCTTAACTTCATAAGAAATAGTTTGAAAAATATTAATCATAGGATGAAGAGCACACAGATGTCGAGTAGGATTGCTCAGATGTTTTACATAAGTGTTACAATATATTGTTTCAGTGGGAGTTGGTACCAGCAGATGAGGGTAGCGCTAAAGGTGCTGCTATAGTCGCTGCAGTAGCTGAAAAAATGGGACTTTGAATGGAAAAGTTCCGATGCTTTGAAGGAGCTGTGGGAACATGACATTCTTCCCTAATGTACTCAGTATCTTTATCTAATTAATTTATCCTATTTTTTCGTCTTTTCAATGTTTTCACCGTTGTTGACTTCAGATATGCAGTAATGGTAATGTTTGGTCGTCTTGTCTGAATTAGGGGCGGTGAAATGAGCTTTCCAAGTAATATTTACTGAATTTCATGTTCTCTGAATTCTGCAGTAGTAGCTTCCCGGTGCTCATTTAGTAGATTTATTTAGTGCACATTGTCATCATCAGGAAAAAGAAACAAATATTTATTTTTTGAAATATTTTACTTCACTATAACACATATACGTGCGGTACATGTAACTTAAATGATTCGACTTTATCCTCTCGGATAGGTATGATTTCTAGATTGTAAATGTTGATTAAAGTTGAAAAGATGTTACTTGGATTTGCTGTTCTCAGTTCGTTTTTGTTAAAGTGCTAGTAGAGTATTTTTGCTTTGCTTTTTTTTTCTCATCTCGAATTTTTAGATCAAGTTCTTTTTGTAGGTACATTTCGGCTAAATGTGCAAAGCTTCTCATCCAAGCAATTTTGAATTCATAAAATTTAAGTGTATAATGATGAGCTATGTCAATCATAACTGCTGTAGGTTTTTATGCATGTATTTATGAAAGTATATTCCAACTAAGCAGGTGTGATTCGTGAATTGTTGCATCTGTAAGAATCGTTTATTTTAATTCATGGCACTACTGCCGACGTTTTCATGCATGATTCCTATGTAAATGCATGATGCACACTATATTATATATTCGTACACTGACATACTACCAATGTCTCCTGATTTCTGCGATCTGGTTATTTTGTTTTCTGGACTCAAGTTTCGAGATGTTATTAGCCTCTTATTGTCAAAATTAGTTTAAGAAAATTTATTTCACACGAAATCTTTTTTAGGTAAGACACTATTCAGCATATTTATATTCTTACTTTGCAACAAATTGGTTTATGGATACGTCTTCGATTTTTTTGTTAACTGTTGTACATTTGCCCCCGTTGTTTATTCTTGTTGTATCTGTGACTGTGGTAGCAACAGAAGGCGGATGACGGGTGGATGAGCAACATTCGGATTGAAATATTTCATATTTTGTTTTATTTTTATCTAAAGCCTTCCGGATTCGTTTGTTTACCAGATGTTTCAGCTTTGCGTCCGAAAAAAATTGCTCTTTTTTCTTTTTAATTTCTATTTGGAAAGTAGGATAATATGAATTCGATATATGCACCACTTACTGTTAATACCTACAATTTTCACCCATTCTTGGGTTCAAGTTTTGAACACTTGGTAAATGCTGGCATGTAGAGGGATCATTACATTGTTTCTAGTTTGTTTTATGTTAAATTGTGAATGTGTTATGTGCTTCATTGACTAAGTAGCAGTAATAAATTAAGTTCCTAGGTTCAATCGTACATGTAAGGCTGTGTGAATCATGGTTTGAAGTAATTTGAAATTCATATACGATAGAAGATCTCTACACCAATAGAGAGAGAAAGAGATTTTATTCTGATGTTGTATTAGTACGCTGATTAACCACAATACGCGAGCCATCATTGTTTCCGAACGCAGATATACACATACACAGGAATAGCAAAATGTAAATGCATATGTTGTAAGTTACGTAACCCCTGTGAAGCAATATTTTATATATGGGGGTGGGATGTAAATCTTTATAATAATTGTGATTTAGACTGACCAGGAATCTAGTGCACTGAGCAGTTTTTTTTTCAGATCATCCTTTTCTGATCCTATCTCATGTATCAATGCTGCCTTGCCTGTATTCTTAGCGGTTAACCAGATGTCCATTGTAAATTAAATTGTTGCCACGGTGTTTGTTATGTTAAAATGGATATTTGCATTGTGAAGGGAAGGAAGAAGTTCATCTGTTTTGTTTCTGAATACTGGTAAGTAACATCAACAACCACAACTTGATATCAATCAGGAAGGAAGTAGCAGATTGCGGCCATATGTACAAATTATTTGGATAACGCTTTCCTTAGACATCAGCTATACATCTTAACATACCAATTTTATCCATCTTCAGATTAAATCCCTAACAGAGATAGATGCTTCAGGATGGACTTCCCGCTTCCATTCTTCCTCTTCTATCTACATCCCCATATCCCATTCAGTTTATCCTCACTTCTTGTGATTGCGGGCTTTTTCTGTACCATATCGCGCTTCAGAAAAACTTCTATATTGGATGTGATAGCAGAAAAAATATTCTAAAAAAAGGTACCGATTACTGGACCCGCCCTAGAACTGTTTAGGTCTCTTTCCCCCAACTCCTACTTCACAATTGGTAGCGGCAAATGCTGCGCCAAATATTCAAGCCACGGGTTATAATAAGAACGAAATGAACATTGCTTTACTGAAGTTGAGGCCCATAGAACTGCAATCGATAACGTTCTTGAGTCTTCACCTTTGATCATTTCTTGATTGGGAAGTTTTACATGAGATGATTTTTCCACTGACAGGATATTTTCAAACATGCAAAGATATAAATTCATTAGCCAATAGTGTCATTAAGCAGGAGAAAAGGAGACAAACAGTACAATAGTCTTTGGAAGTTTTCTCGAAAAAAAAAAAAAGGTTTCCTTTAGAAGTAAGACAGTAATCATTTATGGGTTGGCAATTTTTCGGCAAACTTGTACGACTAAGTCCTTTTTCTCTTTATCATAAATCTCAAGAGATGTAATACGTTGCAAAACATATAGTTCAATTATGGTCTAAAATCTGAAACGACACCTCGCCCTACGGGAATTGTAGGCTGATAGGTTGATTTTGTTTCAATTATCTCGACCCTGAAGTCTGAAATTCCTTTGCAGCAGATTGAAGATACATAGGACAGTACGCATAATATATAACCTTCCCAAAAAAATTACTTGGCAAAAATTATTGTTATTCAGGAATAAAATAATCGTGGACAATATTTTTCTGTTTTTCTTTTTTTGGAATCGAAATGAGCCAATTTCTCGAAATACATTTGATAACAACGATGATCGGCTGCTTTTCATATATTTCAGATTGCAAATATTACCAGTCAAACATTTGGGCCAAATTATAATACATGATAGATTGAAGTGATATGTCATAAATAAAAAGTTATGGTAGAAATGTGAATACTTGTAGAGAAGATGTACGCGGTTTACCAAGCAATAATGCTAAATTTATCATTTATTCTACTTTTTTGATGATGAACAAAGAAGGGAGGAGTAGATCCAAGATCTTTGATTTATGCCCACTCAATATTACGATACGAAGTTGTGCATATCGCCAGTATCGTAGCTCGCCAATCATCCCGATTTGACATTGTAAGCCACGATACCTGCCACTGTCCTATCTCGGCCTTTTTTTCTTTTTTCTTTTTTTTTTAACTACATTGTCTGCTAATGAAAGAATCCTTCTGTTCGTTGAAATGTCTTCCTATTTATCTAACCAGGGAATAAGAGGGGTTGGTTTTTTCTGTCCTTTTTTAGAAACCAACGTAATGTGCTGACATTGTTTTATTTTCGTCTTCTTTCACATTTGCTCTCATTTGTTGCCAGCCATAAAGTCGTTGAGTCAAACTTAGAATTCATCCTTGGTCAATATCCTAACTTTCCGTCCAAGTTATGACATCTTGTGCCAATATCCTAACTCTCCGTCCAAGTTATGACATTTTGTCCATCCTAATCATTTCATTACCACTCATTTTGTAGAAATTTCTCTTATTTCCCACTTAGTTAATGTACAACTGATCATTTCCACGACTACATGACCAATTTACTGCGGGAGGTTTTTTAGTTACAAATACACAAATGCTTCATATTCATCTTCTGGAAAAAACTCACGATGCCAAAAGGTAATGTGTCCCAATTAATTCACCTACCTCTTAGGTTGCTGATGGCAAAAATAACGAATCTTGAAACTGCTAACATTCAGCAAGGTTTTGTTGTTAAATTTAAAGTTTTGAATATGTTCCATCATTTTCCCATATCATTCGACTTTGCCTTTCCAGCACTTCAATGACTTATTCCGATTGAATTTAGTAGGAATAATTTGGAACTTTTTCTCTCTTGAAATATTTTATATCCTTGCTTAATGAACTTAAGTAAGACTATAATCCTACGTAAAAGAACGTGGAAAAAGAATTACACGGACCGAAAACTTTCCTCAAATAAAAATCATATCCGCATAAATCACATGGTTTCGGTATAGTCGTTTCGCATGAAGACAGAAATTTATCAATTCCATCGCAATGGCTACTATTTAACTGAATAAATACTTTGGTACCATAATTCATCAAAAAATTCCTTAGAAGAAACTAGCCCCAAAAATTGAAGTTTATAAGCAACCACATATGACCGTTGACAAAATTTTCTCGTCGTAAAATTTCACTTTTTTTTCTTATCCTCCTTTTGCATCCAATTGGTATGTAACCGCGATGGAAACATCCAACCGATATGCAACAGAAGGTGAAGAATAATGTTTCTCTAATGGATGCAAGCAAAAGCATCACCTCATTAATGATAAAATATTGCAGGGAAAAATGGAAATGAGTGGGAAATAGTTGGTATTGTGAATAGAACATATACGGTGGCAATGAATGAGTAATACTGAAATGACCTTTCTAAGGGGTTTGTCACACTTATCTTTGCGTGAAAATTTAATGAGCTGAATAGCAAAACAAAATATTGAGAGAGATTGATGTGATTGAAATTAGAGATGAAAGTTCCACTGCTGATTGGAAAAATATTCCGTTCAGTCCGATGATATGCGATGATCGCTTACTGATGAAAGAGGAGGAGGGAGGGAGGAGAAGGGGAGGGGGGAGGGGGCAGTTAGGTGGTAGAGGGGGAAGGAAGCTGAACAACAGCTGCACATACAGGAGAAGAGGGCAGTGAAGTTAAGGCCGGACAAGAGAACTCTGTCGGGTCCCGTACATCAATCTCACCTTCATTTCTTCTGCTAGCTAGCTAACTTCAGCTCCTGATTCTCCTAACTATTACCAACTAGCATCATTCATTCCTGCCATCAAACCGATCACTACCAGCAACCATTTTACATCACCAACGGCTATTATAAAAAAAAAAAACTTAAGTTGTCGAGTATTGGCGGTGTTTGA